TGTGAGCGAAATTTTCACTCAGGTTAACAAAACTCTGGGAATTGAGAACAACTTTACCACAAGCTACAACCACAAGGCGAACGGCCAGGTTGAAAGAATGGTAAAAGTTGTTACGGATTCTCTCACAGTCTACTGCTCAGAAGCCAGAGACTTGTGAACAGAATTCCTGCAACCCATCGTTTTTGCCTACAATTGTAGCAAAAACGATACGACAGGGTACAGTCCGTTCTTCGTGATACACGGTAGACATCCGGTCACATGGATGGACGTTATTCACAAATTACCTTCTACTCTTACTTTTGCCACAGATAACTTCGCAGGCCAGTTCGCGACAGCCTTGCAGACTACGATTGTGGAAGTAGGATCCAGCATAGCAGCGAAAACAGCTGACTACAAAGCTGGTTACGATTACCAGAAGAAGGTATACAGTAAGGACCTTTCCATTGGGGATCTTGTATTGTTGCATGACGACACAGTGCGTCCCAAATTTTCCCTTCAATGGAAAGGCCCATTTGTGATTGTCTCCATGTGCCGTCCCAATGTTACCATTAAAAGTCTGTTCAACAATAAGTCACAAACGGTGCATGTGAACAGACTCAAATTGTATTACAGCAGGCCGCAGGAGCGTGAAGTCTCTGTGCAACCACAATCTAGTCACACAGAGGCAGAGACTCCACGTTCTAGTGAGCCTAATCTCAGACGTTCAGAGCGTCTGAGACAAACAACGGATTGGACTCCCTCGTAATGAGCGAAAGGTGCCAGTAGCAACCTCACAAAATTCATTAACGCAGCGGCTACTGGTACGAAGTAAGTTTGCCGCAAGCATACGCACTATAAAAAGAAAGAATTTTTCGATTGGCGGGTCGAAAAACGCTTTCAAACACTCACTTTTACTCCACGCCCTTGTAAGCAACGCTAGGAAATTGTTTCCTCTCGAGTTGTGAACTCGATAATCAAATGTTGTGAAATTCCAATGCATTTATGTTGATCTTGTCAGTAGCGAAAACATAGAATTACATATTCTATCTTTTCGTTCAATATTTCATGTCTTACTTTTGAATTCCTTCTTGTTGTAATGTTTATACTATTTTTTTATGTGTGATTTCATCCCTCCTGCAAAATACCTCACGATATTCATCCTCTTATTCAATTCCATATTGAACAACAATCCATTCTGCTTCAACGTATATATGTCTTCCGCTCGAGGACGAGCTTTACTTTATTGACGGGACGTACGGGAGCGTGTGCTTCGCCTTCTGGCGTTCGCCCTTCTGTTTACCTTGTCTCTTACCGGCTCCTCCTCTATGCAACGTGAAGACGCAATCCAGCAAATGCAACCCAACGATGAAGTTCGATTCCCCCACGATGACTTCAATTCCCCCTCCCACGATGAAAGCAAACCGCGAAAAGATGCATGGTTCTTGATGAGATGAATGGTATAGCAACGATCAATACTCGAGCAATGATGATCGATACGCCAGCAATCAATCAACGACATCAAACAGACTAGAATTCAATCGATGACGATACGACAACAAGCTAGAAATCGATCAATGATGATGGTTGATGACGACATGACGATGGTGATGATGATGATGGTCAAATGGTCAAACGTGCACCCCGAGATGATCAAAAGTTACATGGTTTCTTCTCTTCCCGAGCCATGGTCAAAGATGAAAGCTCGAGGACGAGCTTTGCTAAGGAATGGACATGTCGAGACGCAGAGTAATTAGATGGTCCGACAGTCTCCACGCCAACTGGGCGGTGCCCAGAATCTCCAGATGAGCTGGCACCCCCCGGGTGCTCGGTGGTCCCCTCCCCATTAATGTCCCCCATTTTGATATACATAATATAGAGATAAAATCATCTAGTCAAGAACTGTTCTGTTAAGATGCAATACAACAGGGTAGAGGGATCAAGTCCCGAGAATAGCTAACTCGTTAGACTTGACAAGACGGTTCTTTGGTGGTCATTTTGTAGAGCTTGCTTCGCTCTATCGAATGATGTCCCAAGTCTGCCAGAAAAACAAGAACAGTTTAATTTATGCGAAAATACGGTTTACTTTTGGGATAACCTAATATATATATATATATATGTATATATATATATATTACTATAATTACTTATCATAGCATTTTCTGTTCAATGTGCACAGAGATACTATACATCGCCTCTTCATACATGAATCGGGAAAAAGCGTTTGCTTGAGACGTGTCTGCTGTCTGTCTCTTCAAATTTTAAGGTGACGTCCAATATTCTCTGAGATATTTTCGCCTTATACATACACAATGCAATTCTCTGAAATATTTTCGCCTCATACGTACACAATGCATTGTCTCTGAGATTCTTCGTCTTACATACATATATACATACATATATACAACGCAGCTTTGTGCTCCGGCGGTGCTCCACTAGCATTGAACCTCAAACGCTCCCTTGAAAATGTCAAAAATGGGCTTGTAAAAAAGTGTAGAAATCATTATCCGTTTGCAGCACAGCAAATTGATAAACTCAAAATAGCGAGCGGAAAAAAAGCAAGTTAGATAACAAATGGATATGAGCACTCCTAAGGAGAGCGAAGTAAATATAGAAAAAGAATGTATAGAAAAATGACACAAACTAAGATGGAACGCGCGTTATACCTCACCGCCTGTAGCGCGTAAAGTGACATTTTCACAAAATTCAAGCTAACTCACAAAACCGCTTGTTTGAAATACGCGTATGTGGTGTCTTACCGCATAGTGTTAGAGTATAGACCTAGATGACTTGATTAGTTTAATCTTTATCTGTTTTTCGTTTTGTTTTCAATATAAAATGCATGTCAAATCAGCGCAACATGAGCATGCAGAAATGGATACATTCTCGCAGATGATATTATATGAAACTAGCTTGTATGCCCGTTTCGACCGTATCTTGGGTTTAACTAGCTCAAAAAGGGTAAGAATGGTGGCTCTAAAGATTTCGATTTATCTGGATTTTCGTCTTCTTCTGTTATTTTTGTAGCAGAGGGTGAAGGCTGCTGCACGACGAAGGCGCAGAAGCAGTGTTAGTTGCTATTAGGGTGAACGGTAAAAAATGGGACAGCTTGATTTTCATTACATTTTGGAATTTTTTGTTTCTGGCAATAGCAAGTAAGCAGCAACTTAAACGTCGCTTACATGGGCGACCTTCGCTTATTATTCTGACAACGCGTTAACGCTCCTCTTCCACTACCCTACACGTGGCGCCGTGAAGAACTCGAACAGAGTTTTTTGCACAATCCTCAATCTTGCGCTGTTATACCGTAAAGTCGTAAAGCAAATGACATACCATTCGAAAGAGCTTTTCATGCTCTTTCGAACGATATGTTAAATGCATGAGATTTCTTTTCAATTTCAGAAAAAAAATTCGAAAAAACCTGAAAAATAGCTATTTTTGGCGCAACAAAAAACCAAAAAATCATGTTTTGCCCTATATTTTCCGAAGATAGATAAAATCTGAAGTAAGCTGCATATGGATGGATAGAGCGTAAAAAGCTCTATCAGACGATACCTAGAAATCATGCGTTTACCTGCAAAGAATTGAATAACGCGTATCTTTATTTTCGAAGCTGTTAATGGGTATATCTCCTGACATTGAGAGTTAAAGCCACCAAGCCGTCGTGGGTTTGGTGACTGTCCCACCACTCACTCCAGCAGCGGTACTTTGGGTGGTCTCACATGTTTCACTGCGCCGATACTGCTCAAACTTCATAATTTCTCGAAGTAACTAACTTTGCATTTTAGCAAGTATAAAAATTATCAATTATTTAAATGACCTTATATAGGTGCTATCTGAAAGAGAATAATTTATTCTAATATCCATCAAAATTGGAAGGTTCAGTCACTTTTCTTCCTTAAGAAATCTGCAATTATTCTCAAGGTGTCCCATTTTTTACCGTTCACCAATAGTTGCGAACGTTGCGCGCGCGTATTTCACCGGTATAAATCCTGCGCCTCTTGCGCTCTGCGGCTAATAAAACCGCGTTCACGCCCTAAGATATTGCGCTTTCGTCATGCAGCAGCCCGTAAAAACTTCCTGAACGCATCGCTTTGTTTACCGCATCCTTTTCATCGTGAGATGAAAATGGAGTCTACCGCTACTGTTTACACGAAAATTGGAAGCGCTTTGAGTAAACGATAAGAGTAATTTTCCTTTAAAATCGATAAATCTATAGAAGAAGTGGAAATTTCGCTGCGAAAAGTAGCCTACGGCGTGGACCGCTGTCGAAAACATATGTGTGCAAAGTTTGACGGTGATTTTATACACAAAAGTTTCATAAAGAACACATTAACTAACAATTCACCAACACTCAGTTTTATATTGTATAGATAATAGAATGGGCGATATACCTCGCAACAATATTACAGTTGGGGAATACTAACTGCACTGGGTCCTCCAGTTTTCGAGATCAGACAGCTTTATCACGCACTTCAGGGATCGCTCGAACACTCGCGTCCCAAAATGTAGCCATATCAAGCTATCTTAAAGGCAAAGTCCAGGCAAATCTGGACACATGGGGATCTCACGTGGATAGTAATTTTGGGGCCCTAACTAAACTACTGCCCAACCTGCAGCTCAGGTAGTGCTCTAACGGCTGAGATATTCCCCTCGAAACAAAAAACCGCGATCGTATTTCGCATGGTTTCTTGGCGCAAAGGGTGGATCCTGGAGCGAACTGCCATGAATCTGTGCGAATACGATTGCAGGATCCAGTTTCGACGGGAATATCTCAGACGTTAGGCACTACCTGAGCTGCCGCTTGGGCAATGTTTTAGTTAAAGCCCCCAAAGTACTTTCCACATAAAATCCCCATAGGTCCAGATGCCTGGACGCTGCCTTTAATGTCCCAAGTTTCGCGATTATGATACACGGGTGCATGAGGATCACTCCAGCTCGCAACAACTTGCTCTAAGGCGCTAATCGGAAGAAGGATATTTTTAGAAGTGTTTTTTCAAATGTATACATGCGAATTGGAGTACCTGTCCCATGCTAAAAACTTCCTCGTCATCACTCGCAAACCACTCAATCGATTCGTCATGCGTTTCTGTTGATGTTTATTCATACCCATGTCTCTCAGGAACTGCGGATTTCTTTCCCTTTCATGTGATAACCCTCGCTAAAAGTGAAATTTTGCACTTTTCACAATTCTCGTACTTCGTTAGATCTTACTTCTTCAAGAAAATCTAAATAGAAAGTCAGTAAGTCCATCTCAATTTCGTAGTAGAGCCGATTCACAACTGAAATACCTCAATTTGGCTTGAGATATGAACGGATCAAAACTGTTCACAAATGAGGAACGCATTTATAACCTTCCAGGGTTCTAAATCTAAAAAATAAGCACAGATCTAGTCGATATCGAGTTCAGACGCTAAATTATGATAAAACAAAAACTAACGGCCGAAGGCTAGGGCGGGGGTGCAGTCTTCAAGCATCTTTACGGAGTTGTAGATACCCAACCATGCCCGTACTCCTGTCGCAACTTTTACCTAAAAATTGAAGTAACGAACAAGAGAAGGCACAACATAAGAAAAAAATCTCACGCTAGTTTCTAAATCATCTCCTTGACGAGGTATCCGATAGATGGAACCATAGCAGACATCCCACTGATTGACAAAAGACCTCAAATTGCATTGTGGGTGACAAGCTTTGAACACAAGATAGTTTAAAAAAAGGCAGAAAAAAGATTTTGCCATTCAATATTACTACGGAAGAACCAACCAGCCGCTATCGCCCATTTCAGGCGCATATCGTGCTCTTTGAGTGAAAAGATTCTTAGTCACTAGAGCGGAGTTGTTCCTTTGCTGGTCGTCTTTGCTCGATAAATCAAAGGTTAAATCAGTGAGTGGCTTGATGGACATACTACATTCCTGGAAATGTGGAGAACTGGCCGAGAATCAGCCGCACATACGGTCCAGCATACCTTTTCTGAACCTCTTTCAGGCTTATAGAACTGCACATTCCCTCTGTCATTTCTTAAGCGCCAGCGATTGATAGTAAAAGCTCTGGAAACGCAAAACAGAAATCCGCCATTTTTTATCACATTCTCACTTTGAGAAATCGTCGAATATTGTTCCAGTGTATGACCCAAAAATACTCGGATTGCTTCGTAAACAACTCCAAAATAAAGTACGCAATTCATCCCTGCAAAAAAAGTTGCAGACGAGGCACTGGCCCTAAAGAAGACCCACCTTCCTCTTACGGGCACTCTTCTCTGCCGCCCTCGGGAGTGAGATATCTCGAAGATTTGTATGTCGTAGATGTATATCTAAAATCTGCAATATATGCGATATGCAGAATACATTGACAGCAGTAAATATTTTTCTTGGTTAGAAGGCTTAAGCCAAACTGCAGTCATCTGCACCGCATGAATTTGAGAGAGGCTTGCACGATCTAGCAAATATTTGGACTAGCACATTTTTCTGCATATGGCCCGAAGTAACCCCTTGGCTTAGGTCACAGCCTAAGCTCGAGCTCAGTTTCATTTGGCAGGCCTTCGAGAGGTTTGCCGGCTGTCTTCCAACACCCGTTCAATCTCGTCAACGCAAGTTGCGACCCTTGCTTGAGCTAGAACAGGGCGCTTAAACCTAACAGGGAAAGGATACTTGGATGCCGTAGCCATTCAAAATGATTTGTAAACCAAAAAATGCGCTTTTGAATGCTGGTTCGTAGACTGTCTTTCATATCTGCGAAACAATAATTTGAATGGAGTTATGATTTTTTTTCATTAAAAAAATTGCGTTGCTGCGGAGGGTCAAAATCAACAATAAAAAAAGTTTCTCTCCTTTCCAAATGCTGAGTATGATCCAGATAGTCTAAATAAATATTACTATGTCTAAAATTTTCTTCAGTAGCATCAAACGGTAGGCTAGGTCAAATCTGGTGATTTTTACTATCCAAAAGTAGGCTAAATTTTCAAGGAAAAAAGTTCATAACTTTCTTCAAAAGATCGTTTCGCAGATTTCAGCATAGATTCAGAATCTGCATTTGAAGGCGCATTTTTTGGTATAAAAATCATTAGGAATGGCCGCGGCATCCAACTATCCTTCCCTTGTAAGGCATACCTCCAGCGGCCCATTGTTACGATTTTCGAGCTGCGAGTAGACTGCCTGGGCGACCGTTCACTGCGTGAAAATCGCTTATCGCTTGATTATCGGACACCCAAGCGATTTCGTAGACGGTCACATACCACACCGCGTTGTACGCACCTTTGGAAATTTTGCGCTAGTTTGTCTGAAGTGCATTTATCCAAGTATAAAGGTGAGTGTTGGTAAATTGTTAGTTAATGTGTTCTTTATAGAAATTCTTGTGTGTAGACCAATCAGCGCGAAACTTCGCACACATATATGTTCGACGTCGGCCCGCTCCTTAGGCTACTTTCGCGGCGAAATTCCCGCTCATTCTGTTGAATTGATTTAAAAAATGAACTCTTATCACTGCTATCAAATCATATTCACTTTTCATGTAAACAATAGCGGTAGAACTCAATCTTATTCCACAATGAGTGAGTTGCGGTAAATCAAGGCGATGCGATTAGGAAGTCTGTGTTGCACGAGAAGTAGAAGAAAGCCAAATGCAGAGAGCTGAGCTTTGAAAGTTGGGCGCGAATCTTGGTCTTTGTTGAACCAGTTAAATTCTCAATGCAAGCGAACAGGGTATGCCAGCTAGTACTATGAAAATCGCATTTGTTGTTTTCAATCAGTAGTATGGAATGTTCGATGGCCATCATTCTCTCATGCAGAGAGGATGCGCTGGTGTGTTGATGGAATAGTTCTGAATGAAATTCGCATTTGCCAAAAATATAAAACTTCACAAAGAAAAAGCCATTTGAGCGATTCGCCAGTGGCTGGTGCAGAACTAGCGACGGCGACATCGCTGAGTTTGAGCGATGATATCTCGATGACAGTGGCGTACCCAGGATTTCCGCTAGGGGGGGGGACAAAAATTTTTTTCGAATGAAGGTGCGTGGCGTTAGCCACGCACTTCGAAAAAATCTTAGGGGTGCTTCTCAAAATTTTTGCGGTCCCCAACCCCTAAAACCACGCCCCCGAAAAAATTTTTTTACAAGGTATCCCTGCTGAGGATATGCAGCCCAAAAAAGGCCCGCAATTCGTCGCAGCGTCAATCTAACATAGACGCGGCGCGATCATACAGTTGGGCGCGCGTGCGCTGCGGACTCGGAACATGTGTGCGAGGTGGAAATCGCGATGAGACTAGAACGCGGTAAGTACGCCTTGAGCCTTAGATTTGACCTGCATCGCGAGCTAAGACGTCACCTCCACTTTTCGCAAAAATAATGAGCCATGAATAGCCGCAGAAAAGTAGCGCCAGAGTAGAGCTCGAGTAGGCCAAGATCGCAGCTGGGGTAATCATCATAACTTATAATAACGGGCTAAGAGTGTTTACGTGTTTTTGTGTGTGTGTGTGTGAGTGTGTCTGTTACGAAATTCGTAGGGCGCGTTCCAGCCAACCTCCTGGGCCCAAATTTTGCACAGCGCATGCTACCCGCAAGAAAGTCGAACATGCAAAAGCACGAGCAGATTCGTTGAGTGTATCCCTCAGAAACTGCGAGTCAAACGGATCCACTTTGCGTTTGGGCCGCAAAATTGGGTCCGTAATTCCACTTTTTTCAGAGTCGTGGATGTTTGTGCCAAGTAAATGTGCAAGCCATGAACTTAGGCTCAAAAAAGTGATCAAAAGTCCATAACTTTACAAGAACGGCCCCAGAAAGTATTAGTTGCGTAAATGGTCAATTTGCCAAGGTTTTACCAGACCATTTGACGAGATTTTTGCACAAATATGTAGCCCACGGTGATTGCTGTTCTTATTGCAACTGCAAAGACCATGAGAAAATCAAAAACCTATGAAAATTTGCGTTTATTTCCCTGCAAAAAGTCTCATCCACGCGAAATCACCGACTTTATAATACATAAAAAAAACTTTCAGAATGAGTAGTTGTTTACATTTTGTTCGTGATAGTCGGCATCACTCGGTGAGTTCCAATGTCATCATTATAAGAGAATGAGTAGGGCCTAGATAGAGAGCCAGTGCGAGCCTCTGCGAAGCAGAGGTGACGCACTGGTAACTTATAATAACGGGCTAAGGATGTTTACGTGACTTTGTGTGTGTGTGAGTGTGTCTGTTACGAAATTCGTAGAGCGTGTTCCAGCCAACCTCCTGGGCTCAAATTTTGCACAGTGCATGCTATCCGCATGAAAGTCCAACATGCAAAAGCACGAGCAGATTCGTTCAGTGGATCCCTCAAAACTGCGAGTCAAACGGATCCACTTTGCATTTGGGCCGCAAAAATGGGTCCGTAATTCCACTTTTTGTAAAGTCGTGAATGTGTATGCCAAGTAAATGTGCAAGCCGTTAACTTAGGCCCAAAAAAGTGATCAAATGTTCATTACTTTACGAAAACGGCGCCAAAAAGTATTGGTTGCTTAAATGGTCAATTTGCCAAGGTTTTACCAGAGCTTTTGACGAGATTTTTGCACAAAGATGTAGCTCACAGTGACTGCTGCTCTCATTGCAACTGTCAAGACCATGGGAAAATCAAAAACCTAAAAAAATTTGCGTTTGTTTTCCTGCAAAAAGTCTCATCCACGCGAAATCACCGGTTTCACATAAAAAAGCTTTCGGAATGAGTAGTTGTTTACATTTTGTTCGTGATAGTCGGCATTGCTCGGTGAGTTCCAATGCCATCATTGTGCGAGAATGAGTAGGGCCTAGATAGTGGAGCCAGTGCGAGCCTCTGCGAAGCAGAGGTGACGCACTGGTTAAGAATAACAGAGACCCAACCTAAACCACAGAGCACAAGCCTGAAAATTACAAGAATAAGGCGCGTTAAACACGATAAAGCAAGTGTGGTGAACTGCTCGAGCTTTATCACAAGATTGTTTTTGCATTTATCCATTGCAAGCAACCACCGAAGCACTAGTAAAGCATAGTGGCTATGATCGCTCTTAGGACTCGGGCACACTTCACGCAATTTCAATCGTCTTGCGATCTGGCAATTTCCCAGATTCCTACAATCCAACATTGGCAGATTACAAATGCATACCATGTATAACTTACTTGGACTGATAAAATGTCCTATCTGTACATTTGAATGGCGCTTACGATGAGTTATGGACAATTGGAGCATTGCCAGATCGCGATGCGACTTTAATCGCGTGAAGTATGCCCGAGGCCTTAGCGATCATGATGTTAAGAGCCCCACGCCGCACAGGCGCGCAAATTTGCGGAGACATTTTCAAACCCCACGCTAGGCATGCGACCTGCATTGACGCGATTCCCGCAGGCTTGAACAATTTACAAACATGATTGTATTGAAAAATAACCGGTAAATTGTTCAGCTGCCTGCGGAACTGAGCTCAACAAATAAATAATTGGCTCCGAGCTGTCGCGACCGTAGCTTTTTCATGTTGTGATTCCTGGGGAGAGGGGATGGGATTATGAACACAGATGTTCTTCTGACATATGTGTTGAGGGTCTTATCAGCTCCTGTTCATATTTCATTCAAACGCAGTGTGGGTATAACAGTCAAAGATAAATCAAGTTTGATTGAAAAGTTGATGAACTAGCCGTTTGTTTTACTGGAGGCTCCAAACAGAATCTTCAACTCCTCTTCGCACACGGCATCGAATACCCACAAAGACTGAGCAGTTTACTCCCAATGAGGATAGGTAATGCACATCCGGGCCAGAAACTGAACCGCGTTCTCGACTTAAAGGCAGTGGCAGGCAAATCTGGGCATATGGGTTTTTTGCTTGGAAACTGTCGAGGAGGCTCTAGCTAAGGCACTGCCCAAACCGCAGCGCAAATAATTCATTCAGGGCTGAGAAATCCATCCACAAACACTCCGCTGCTGCGCTCTGACCGTAACACTTAGGATTGGTCCCAGCGCGAACGTAGTGTTAAAGTGAGCGAAGTCGTTTTTAAGTTACGGTCACGGGAAGGCGCGGGATTTTCGGGGACGGATTTTCTCAGCCGTTTGAACAATTTGCGCTGCCCCTTGGGCAGTGCCTTATTTGGAACCCCCTCTTCAATTTCCAGGCAAAAAACCCTTATGCCCAGATTTGCCAGGACACTGCCTTTAATTTTTATATAACTCCCCAACGGTTTTACCTAACAATATTTATCGTTTTTGACATTTTATGTGCTTGCTGCTTGCTGGAATTGAATTAATTGCTCAAATAAAACAATTTATACATAGAAAATTGCGGAAGATTGACCGTGGCCTACAAAAAATACCTAGCGCGGTGTGATCCAGAATACGGATAGCTATCAATACCTCGGCGATGCACTCAGTAAACGAAAATAAATTTTTCTTATCTATAAGTTGGGCAAGTTAAGGTAGTTAAGGTGTGTCATTAGGTCAGCGCAGGCTGATAGTATATTTTTGGTGAATCTTATCGTTACACCACCTGATTCGATGCACTCGCCTTCTCCATACGTCTAACTCCAAGGCCACGCTGCAGGTGCGCATATCCGATACGTATGTACGCAGGGTGTCCCAAAAATGTGCACACCAAGTTTTCGATGAAATTCTCTTGCTTCATTAATTGTCATTCCCTGAGTACAATTCGCTCGTCTCAACTTAGATTTACAGTTCCGAGCAAGTTACCACCCACTTTTCGTCACTTGTTCACAATTCAACTTTCAGCATGCTGCGCCATTATGAAAATCTGGAAATCTGTGTTTCAAGCATGCTAATTTTATACAACTTTTTACAAGATTTCTGAGTTTTTTTGGTCTTGTAATCAGGTTTATAAAGACCTAGAAAGCAGTTGTTACGCATTACGGAAATAATTCATGGAAGAAGCATATCTTTGATGTGCAGCTTCATAACTGAAATGAGCGACTTTGATAGCACAGTAACAGAGCTCTTGGCTGTTCGGTTTTCTTTCAATCAAAATGCAACTCTTGCTCAAAACCATCTTCAAGATCCTTAAAGGCACCGTCCACCCAGATTTTCGACTTCCACGTTTTTGTCGTTTCAGGGCCTTCTCATGTCCCTGATTCTGAATATGAAGTGGAGAATGCGCAAAAACCTCGACAATCCCCGTTCCAGACAACCCACAGGCCAGCTTTCCGGAACGGTGATTGGATGAGCGCGCACAAGTGGGCGGGCATGGATGGGGGTCCTCGTGCATCTTCGCTGTTCCGAAGCGATTTTCTCGCTTCCGAAGCGGCATTTTGCGCCGCGACTTGGGCAGTGGATTGATAGAGGGCCCTACTATTATATGCTGCCAAAAGCTCAACACCCTTAACTTAGGGTGAACGGTGCCTTTAACGCGATCCTACAGTAATGAAAGATTGGAGATCCGCTCCATACTGTGAATCTAAGTTGAAGCCAACTCTGCAAAAGGTACCTGGATATCGGCAATTCGGGACACCCTGTATTTAACCTAGTAAGTTTCAAATCACACGCATGGACTTCCGTGCAGGGTATTATGTACTATCTTCGCTGAAAAAGTGTCAACAATTCACAAATTTATCAACTTTCTATACTTTTGTTTGATAAATTCCAAAATAGCACATGATGGTGATCAAACATGGTAATTATAAACAGGTCTTTAAAACAGCCCACGCAAAATCTTTCTTCCAGCACTGTGCTTTAGAAATGGTTCACTGGCACGGGGACGAGTGGCGTAGTGGTATGAGGCGCCGCTATGACCAGATCGGACACAGGCTCGATCCCCGCTCCTGGGCCAGCCAAGCCCTCTACCCTCCAAAGCCGGTAAATTGGTATCAGAGCAATCTGGGAGGATAAAAGCACAGACTCGATAATCGGAGCCTCCGCAGGTCACTGTATTAGGCTCGGACGCATACAGTTGCCTCTTCGATTATGAAGTAGTGTGCGTTCGGCGCATGCCCTCAAAAGACCGAATCCTTTATCCTTTATCCTTTGATCCCTCTCCATTACTTTATATCATGGAAGGAACCCTTTCAAAAGTGCGTTGCAAATTGCGGTGAAAAAATTTCCAAAAAGCTGTGAGCGCTCATACTGGATAATAATTTATGGCCATCTATTCTTGTGATGAGCGATTGCACTCCACTGTAACTTCTAGTTCATAAGCTTTGCTAAGTGGACCATATGGACCGCGTTTGCGATAGCCATCAAAAAGGCAATCGTTCCATCTACTAGGTCACATAAACCTGCACAGTTCTTGAAAGCGGACACAGAAACCCCACTACACATATTTTTACCCATTTGAAATTCTTTGGAGTTGAAAGATAGCAAGGAAGCCATTGTTGAAAGTTTCTACTTCAGCCTGCAGCTATGTAGAAAGGTCAGAGTCTCGCTAGCAGCAGTAAACCTGTGTTGAAACCAAAGCTACATTATAGTACCTGAAGATCCGCGAAAGCTAGATGGGAGTTGCTAACTACCAAAGTCCGGCGCATGAAACTAATAGTGATTAACTTACCGTTTTACCCGACAAACCGCTTTCTAGTCGATACCAGTTAACAAGAAGAGGAATTTGCTCCCCTGAAGATCCATGGCCTGGACGGGGGTAGACTGGACATACCTCGCCACCGTGCTGAACATTCATATTTTATATGGAAACAAGACGACTATTTTTCAGAGATAATTTGCAACCCCAAATGCAGAATGGAATAGATGAGCGTGGCCAGCAACGATAGCTGGCGCGGTCAGCAACCTGCGCATAATTCACATTTCTGTCCATCTGCACGCAGTGATTCAAAACATTTCCTTCTTTTATGCTGCCAGTTAGACTGAAAAGTCAGATTCTGGCTCCTGAAATGAGGTGAGAAAATACGTTGCAGATATCAGAACAAGCTTCCAATGGTGGGACTTCATAAATTTTGCGTTTTTTCTTTGCAATTACATTACCGAACTGCCATAAATTTTGCGTTTTTTCTTTGCATACCGAACTGCCCTACTACTGAAGTTCCGAGCAGATACATGAACCATACTCAAGGGACTCGCGTCACTGAAAGTTGCTCGCACACCGCCGTCATTAACAAACGACAGCGTCGCGCAATGGTGCGCGACAGGCAGTCTGTCTTGTAGACGCAGTCTATCTTTATGGACGAGTCGCGCATTAACGCGCGGGACCCCAAATTTCAAACCTGAGATATCCAATCGTTCTAATTCGTGCTCGTATGATCAATTTCGGCTAAGCGTTATCTAATGTTGTTGATCGCGTCCTCAGTGGCAAGCTCCTCTCACTTGTCAAAATTGCCGGAATTCGCACAAATTCTAGCAGTTTAAACAAAACTCAGCATTTTGCCGAGTAGAAGGAGCTTGTAAAAGGGTGATGCGGGTTTGCTCTGCCAACTTCTTTTTTTTCGCGCATAGGTGCATGCATACATACATGCAGTCAGATTTAAGAATGCAGGAAACGGCTCGTAGAAACAAACATCAAAAATGGCTCGTTGTCAAGGTGTCTTATGGCAAATACAAAGGTGTTCTGCAAAGGATGACACTAGCGACGATCAAAATCAAATTTGCTTTTATCATCACACGCCTCAATCAGTGTCCGTATGGTGTAATCTGAGTCAAACTTTTTCGTTTTTGAAAGGCAAAGCAAAAACTTGCTAGCTGTTACCAGTACCACACGAATGAAATGCTCCCGATGTTTTCGAGCGCGCAAAAATCTCAAAAATTACATACTCATTCTTGAAAGGTAATGGTCAGAATTTACCCAGCTACATCAAACTAGCTGTATTTCATGCGACTCGCATCAAAATTTTTATTTCCCCCGCCCTCCCCCCCCCTCGGTACGCCACTGAGGAGTAGGCATCTTTGTCAATCAGGGCCTCCATCGAGCCCGGGCAAACTTTTTTCTGATCGTATCATCCAATTCATTTCGACGGCAGACCAACGCGAATTACGACAGCTTACGCAACGTGGCGAAAAAAAGGATACGAGGAGTTTTGGAAACTCAAACATGCAGTTTCACAACGTTATGTGATATATACATGTACGACAATTTGATCGGTGATTTCACCACCTGTGTAGGAAAAAAAGCGCTAACCAATTATGTGAGCGATAAATGATTAAGGACAAGAAACAACAAAGGACTGCTGCTGACTGAATTTGCTGCTTCCAGAAGCCTGACAGCAAAGATGAACCTGGCGATCTCCCGGATGGTCAGGTTTGAGAAGAGATCGATTATGACGTTAAAAGAATAATAACCAATGTAGAAGTACTTAATCGATTCAGTGCTAAAAACGATCACCGCTCATTCTGGCTACAGTTGATGTTCTTACTAAGGCACTATCGTCCGCTCACACCAACTACCATCGATTAAAGTAAGCTTAAAATGAAAGCCCTCTTTCAGTGATCCTTTTGCTGATTTCATCTTGGATGTAGTGCTGAATGATCCGGTAACTGTTAGAAAAAGACGCTCATCTCTCTCAAGGAAGCTGCCGCTAGATAAGAAATAAGTTGGAAACCGTTGGAACAAATGTGTATCTAAACGAACTCGGTCTCTTCTTTTACTGAGGCGTGAGCTGAAGTCTGGAATAGAACACAGGAAATTTTCTAATGCTCTTCATTATGCAACTGTCTGCAAAGCTGCTCGATAAAAAATGATCGTTATCGACATCGCCTTTTCGTTCTTCAGCGTGCCATCCGATGCAGCATAAAGCATGGACGTCTTGAACTCATTCGACAGCGTGAAGTTATCAGTCAGTTATGTCGACAAAATGGAAAAATGACCTCTTACTCCACCGAAGCCAACTCATTAGGGAACAACTTTTTTGCCGAGTTCTATATCAGAAGCGGAGTTTTCCCTGAGTTCAGAATTTATCAGCCTATAACCAATACGATCACTGCCGACGAACTGAGAAAAGATGTCAAAAATTCGTGCCAACACTGCTCCAGGCATCATGTTATTCGTCCCAAAGATGCTAAGTACGGCGTCTCATCTTAGCTCACAAATATCATAAACCGACTAATTGAAAATGACACTATTCTTATCGACTTCTTACATGTTAACGTGATCCTTTTCTGCAAAAAAGCATTGCAAACTTCAATTTCGTTTTTACCAATATACAAAGCTTTAACAAGAGCCTGGCCCGTTGAGTAGAAGAAAAAGCAGGCCAGTCCAAGGAAGCGATTGAGATGGATATTGTAGCGATGGAAGAAAACTTCACTATCTTGCCTTTGCGGACTACGTTATGCTTATAAATCACTGTCCAGCTCGACTACAACCAAAGGCAGCAAAACTTCTTAAAGCGTGGGAGTACACTGGATTTAAAGTCAGCGGAAACAAGACCAAATGGATGGATGCCGACAGAGGAAACATTTGGACAAGTTCAACCTAACACCAAATGGTAATATCATCGAACGCGTACATTCCATTTTTATCTCGGCCAACTACTACGATGTTCGCATGACCAGGACATGAAAGCATCAAGATGCATCGTTTTGGCATGGCACGTTTCAAACAAAACACAAGAATTCCTCACGAACAAAAATGTGGCTGTTTATCTAAAGTGTCACAATTTTTATACCATAATTCTCCCGACACTTATATATGACTAGAAACCTGGGCGCTGACAAAAGAGTCGCTAACGACGCTCCTCCGATGTCAGAGAGCGATGGAAAGACCAATGCTGGGATTTCGTTTAAAAGATCAAGTTATCAAATTGTATGATCCATCATATAGCTGAAAGACGCTTTTGCAGCAGCACAAAAAAGAAAGTGGTGATTTGTCCAAAAATATGATGCATCAAGGAAAAGGGAGATGGACAACAGCTTTAACGAGTTAGATACCAGCCACCGGTCAAGGTTTCGAATACGGCAAACCCAGACTAGGAAGACTACATTCGAGCCTGGATAATCTCTAAACCCACTCGTAACTGGCAAAAACAACTGAAGAACCATCACCAAAGGAAAAAACATGGTATAGCATATGCAGTCCCACTGAATATCTGAAATCTCAAACGAAAACATCACGATTTTTCTAGATGCTTGTAAAACCGTTCAGATTGAATAAGGAATAAGAGTAACAATCTTTGAGACTACCGTTTCAAGGCAAGTTCGATATACAGCTTGTTTGAAATGGATGGGTTAAGTTCTGCCCATTCCCTCGTTAATGTAGCTTGTCTTCGCGTGGCGTGCACGGAATGATAAGACAAGTCACAAGTTAATAAGTTCCCTAAATTTCGTTTTTGACAGTCATGAGCTTCTTGACTGCCGCCGGTGGCTGCACGCGACTTTCAAACGGAAAGTTGTACAGCTAATTTTCCCGCCGGTGTATCCGTTCCACAAACACGCCTGCCCATCTATTTGATGGTCTTCCACGAAAGCGTTTTGCTTCGCGAAGATTCCACTCTGACATTCATAGTACCATCTCTTGTCTCTCACACTGTAACCTCCCATTGGTGTTCCGTTTTCACATAGTATCAAGGTGAATGAGGACGGGAATTACATGCGCACTATGAAGTTCGGCGTGTTGCCTTCAGGTAATCTTCAAAATACTGCGCTTGAACATTTCGTATATAGCTCTGAGCTTCGCGACTGAGCCCGGAAGAACGGCTAAGTCAAACGGATGGCCAATCCAGAGTCAAACAGATGGGCAATCCAGATCCATCAGATGGTCGGTCGCTTTTTTCATAGGACCAAAGCCGGCACAAGCTGCTCTTCTTCTCCATTGATGAATACTTTTTCAAAGGTGCCTTAATCTACACTTGCAAAAAGTTTGCTGACCTTTTCAACGTTCTACAATCACTCTCTTGTTGAAACTAATCCTTGAACAAAATAAATGACAACATCGACGGTAGCAGGGATGCTGGGTGAACGAAGTCGGACAGTGTCAAAACTAGCAGATTATTGCTTCACGAGTCTGTACACATACAGCTACTCCGTGTTTGCAATCTTATGCGTTGGCTACCCATATGCGACGCAAAACTTCTTTGTAATACGAAATAACCAGACAATCTCCACTATTCAAAATTCCATACGATACTTTACGATAAACTAAACCTCGTTTAGAAATTGTTTGGCAGATAGGGAATGCAGATGGGTAGCAAGCATTGTGTGATTTGGATATTGTACAGCTTTTTAAGACAGTGGATCAGCATGGACCTTCCTCGGATTTGAGTGGGTTTAGGTAGTAAACCCCTCAAGTACACTGTAGCCGAAATTCCATGCCAATCGCTATGTCCTATAAACGCGCTTCAAAACTCGACCAACCCCACCCACTCAATGGAAGTGAACGAAGTAGGTGAAGTTTTGGAGCGCATCTTTCAGGACTTAGCGCATGAATTGGTACGTGGAGTCTTACAGTGTACTTGAAGAATCTACTACCTAACCCCACCAAAATCCGAGAAGGACCGTTTTGCCGATCCACTGCCTATAAGGCAGCGTGGCGAATGTACGCTGCGTATACAGCGTGAGTCGCCTAGGCCACAAAGTCTGTCAGGATCTCGTTCGCTTTTAACTTGTTGACGCCACCAAAATTTGTCACATGACTTCTGAAAAGGCATCTCACTCTGCGAGCACCTCACTACTTCTCCACCCACAGTCTCGACTTGCGTTTAATCCCATTATTCTACTGACAGGCAAAGGCGCTCCCAAGTTCGTCATTCACACAAACAACTCCTACCCTTGTATGGTCCGGACCGACGGATGTTTGTTGTGATGTGGATGCATGCATCTTCTTGAAGGTATTCTGCAAATTAGTCTCTTTTGACTTTTACAAGATACGAGTAACTGTTAAAAAGAAGACACAAAAAGCGACATACCTAACAGGCAATCAACTTGCCCCGTGACTAAAAGCCAAGTGGAGTCCACAAAATGGAGAGGAGCTTCCAAAGTTTTGCAGTCTCGTCAGCAAAAGATGCAATTCGAAGGCTACCGCTTTTATATTCTTTTCCGGAGTCATTAAATTGCATAAAGTATGGCATTCATATTAATGCTCACGAGCCAAGGGTTGTTTACGTTTGTCTGCATCACTTCTGGACCTAGATAATGGAGCGACCCACAGACAAGGTGTGAGGCTACTTTTTGCACCACGCTCCCAGCACGTAAGTTCACCACGCACGAGGACGAGCGGGATCGCTGTGTGGACTTCACAGAAAATTGAGTCGCAAACAGATTTACGCGTCTTCAAACTCGCAGAACTGAGTCTTCATTTTTGAAGTCGTAAATGTGAATGCGTACGTTTTGCACGCAATTCTTTACCCCACTGATGAGGAAGAAAATCTGTGCGCACTTGGCGCAAAAAAGTTTGGGTAAATCCTCAATTTGTCAACCTATTAGCAAAGACATTGAAAATATTTTTGCTCAGAAATTAGCACAGGTATTCACTGGCCGTTTTTGCACCTAGCAAGCCCGTAAAAGCAATAATCGATGCAAATTCGCAATTATACTGAAAGTACCTAATTTCCGCTTCTCAAGTGACCGATCTTACATGGAACTTCTCAACTTCAACTCCATTTACTTGTTGTGTACAAGCCAGTTATGATGAACAGCATTGCGCGGTAAGTCTCAATTTCACCATCAAGCGAGCATAGGAAGGTACAGAGTTTGTCGAACCAATGCGAACCTCTGCAAAGTAGAGATGCCGCAATGGTTTTCCAGTAAACGCTACTCATAACGATAATATTTGTGGATACAGGGTGTCCGTAAAGTATGTATACACCGTTTGATCGTTAATATCTTTTTTCCCAAGAAGTCATTTGCCTTGCTTCAGGTACCGTTTTGTAGAGCTGGCTTCAGCTTAGATTTACAGTATGGAGCGAATCACCCACCTCTCTTCATTACTGCAGGAATACGGCGGAAACTTCAAGGAGGGTTTTGAGCCATGAAAGGTCATATTTTGGCTCAGAAAGGAATAAAACAGCCTGAAAACTTTTACACTAGGCTAATTAGAGCTGCTGATTCTATCGTAAAGTTTTCAACTTATTACGATGCTTTATTGAAGAGTTATGCCAGGTAAGAGGGAGCGGCCATTTTTTCAATATTCCTTAAAAGCGACTACACCGTTTAGAAGGCTTCGCAATTCTTGTGAATGGTTGAGTACTGAACTCAGCGTTCATAAAAACCCTATTACACAAGATTTCACTTTTCAGTTTTCACTTTCATTTTTTTGAAAAATTTTGAAACGGCAGCTTTTTCCACATTGACACCATATGTTTCAAGTTTCTACCGTAATCCTACAGTAATGAAGAAAGATGGGTGTTTCGTTCTATACTGCAAATCTAAGTTGAAGCCAGTTCTACAAAATCGTTCCTAAGGAAAGGCAAAAGACTTCTTGGGAAAAAAGATATTAACGATCAAACAGTGTATACATACTTTACGGACACCCTGTGTATTAGGTTGAACCAAAAGTTCTGTCGTTTCATTTTCCAAAGTTTGTAACTCCGCGAAATTACACGGATTTGCTTGCTTGTAATTTTATTAGAAAGAATAAGTCTTTCGCTTTCAAATGCTGTTCCGTAGTGCTTCTGTTTCATACTGAGTGCGGAGATAAAAATGGAAAACTAAGACCATATAAGGTTTGACCATTTTAAGTTAGGTCGCCAAAAATCGAGAACGCTGCAGAAAAATGTGAAATCATCAGTACTTATGTTTTTGGCCTACCCTTTGCAACTATGAAAAGTTTGTGCTGTTTGGACGTCTCTGTGAAAAGTTATGATTCTCGCGAAAATTGACAAATTAATTGATTTCGGCGTTTTCCATAGTAAACTTGATGCTCATAACTTCTCACAGAAACGTCCAAACACCACAAACTTTTCACAGTTGCAAAGGGTAGGGCAAAAAACATAAGTACTGACGATTTAGATTTTTCTGCAGCGTTCCCGATTTTTGGCGACCTAACTTAAAATGGTCAAAGCTTATATGGTCTTGTCGGTGAGATTGTTGAGCTTGACCAAGATTGGTATGATAACTTTATTGGCTGACGTCGACGTTTCGGCGATCTACGCCTTCTTCGGAGCCTGGAAAGACGAAGTCATAAGTGTCTATCCGCTCAGACGTCAAGTGCCAGGAACAAAATAAACCCGAAGAGATTAGCCAAAGACATTATCAGAGCCACAAGAACACATACTCACCTTAGACGTAGCACAATCGGTAGCTGGAGAACAGACCACCTTATACAAAACTGTGCCTCCAACCTCTATTTATACGCCTGAGTGACCTGACCTCAGTCAAACCCACAGAGGGCCTGATAAGGCGCGAGTTCGGTGGTGATAGCAAGGCACTCGTCTTTTCTGTTCATTTTAGGATTTTTCGCAGCAATCCAAAATGCTTCTAACGTTTTGCGTGCCAGGAGTTCGGGCTCAAACGATAAGATCTTTACTGCAATCTAAATTTCAGCACCTTCATGACGGCTTATTCGATGTTGCCCCAGTGGTGTGGAGGGCCTTGACTTATTTAGCCCATCTAGATGTTCCTTGATGCGAACACAAAGAGGGCGCCCGGTCTCTCCGATGTAGGTGTCTCCACATGATAAACATGTGATCCGGCAAATCACTCCTGACACCATACAATCACCCTCTCTGCTATATGGGCATATTACACAACCTGGAGTCAAACAATTACGGTCATAAATGCGGTTGCGAACCAGTTGGCGCTTCAAATCTGGGGGTGGTATATCGACCACTCTAACCGCCTCTTGCAAACCCGCGCGTTGTACGCACCGCCGCACTGCCCTGCTAAGTTCATCCGAAACAAACGGCAAGCAGAAAGGGATCTTATCAGCTATGGAAGCTGAATTGATCCTTCTGCTCAAAGAGCCGCTTTGTCGGGCAGAGCAGCCACCGGAGTAGCCATCTGATTTGGCGATCTGGGAGGCCATGCCCAAAGACACTGCACGCTCCTGGCTCCCAGATGAGACTCGAGCTGCTGTTCTGAACATATTTGCAATGATAGAACTTTTGGTTTTGCGAGGGTGTGCAGACAAATAATGCACCAATATATTTTTGCAGCTGGGTTTGCGGTACCACCTAGTTCTGTACTCCCCACCCACTAGATGAATTTGGACATTAAGAAACGCAAGCCAGTTTTCGTGGGGCTTTTCCCTGGTGAACTTAATGCTGGAAAACTGCTCGTTAAGCGTGCGGAAACATATGTCCATCTCGGTCTGAGAAGGGCAAACTATGCAGCAATCATCTATATAACGGCAGTACAGCAGCGGCTTGCGCTCTAGCACTGGCGCCTCTACCTTAGACATGAAAGCAATGGCAAGTGTTGGTGCTAAACGTTGCCCCATTGCTAGTCCCCTTACCTGCTTATAGTAATGGCCCGACCACCTAAAAACGTTACAACTCAAGCACTCGCTTAAAAGGGACATCAAGGTGTTTATGGTAAATCCATATAAGCGCAGTGAGGACTGATGCTGAGATAGAAGCTCGCGCACAGCTTGCATTGCGGCATCGTTTGACACATTGGTACAGAGCGAAGTAACGTCAAACGACTCTATAACGGAGTTTGAGCTAAACTGCGTATTGCGGAGGCGGTCGAGTAGCATACCAGTGTTAGAGAGGTGTGCAGGGATGTACTGTAATAGCTGCGTTAAGATTAGATTAATAAACCACGCAATCCTATCTGTCGGACCTCCGACATTGCTGATTATTGGCCTTACTTTGAAATCGCATGCATTGTTTGACGTAAGACCTGCGGCGGGAGGTTTGTGCGTTTTGATAAGCGTATACAAGACTGGACAGACAGGCAGTTCGCATTTTAAACGCGCTATTATACTTTTAGGTAAGCCTGCAGAGTGAGCTGTTTCTGACCAAACCCTATTGAGACGGCGATATTGCTTCTTAAATTCATCGGCGGAGGAAGGCTGGTAAACGCTGCGATCCGCCAGATGATTTCGTGTCATTGCCATGTCCAATTCACGTGAAACGACCACGAACTCCCCTCCTTTATCGCTCACAGAAATTTTGATCTCGCCTGCGTTGCAGAGATCACGGATCTCACGCAGGCCGCGGCGCTGTGAAAGTGTTAAATTATGATTTGCGCGGTTTCTGCGGCATTTGCTGATGATAGAGAACCAGAGGTTGCAAACACGCGAAACTGTGTATCTACCAGTACTCTGCGTTGATACCACTGCTTA